ATTTTACCATTGTCATTCCTAATATTTATTTCTCAATTGTTTTTGTTCATCTGCCTTGCCATTTTTTTTGTCTATCTTCGTAATAGCAATAATAATGTTTTTCTTTCTTTTTTTATTTCACTCATCCTTGTAATCCATAATAATAACAACAACAAGAACAACAACAACAACAATAATAATAATAATAATAATAATAATAATAATAATAATAAACAACAACAACAACAACAACAATAATAATAAAAAAAAAACAACAACAACAACAACACACTACAAGAAAAGTGCACATAGACAACACTAGAAAGACAACAGTTTTTAACAAAAGTGTTGTCTTTTGTATAAACGACAACAGTTTGGTCCAAAACCGTTGTCTTTGATGCAACACTTTTGTCAAACACAACGGTTTTTACTTAACCGTTGTTATAAGTGTGTTGTCTTTGTGCAATTTGACAAGAGGCAACACTTCAACGACAACGGTTTTTAGAAACCGTTGTCTATGTGCGTTTTTTTTTTTTATTAAAGACAACGGTTAACCATTGTCATTGATATGTTGTCTTTAACTCAACTTGAATAAACAACACTACAAACACAACGGTGTTTTAAAACCGTTGTCTTTGCGCATTATTATTTTTTAAACGACAACGGTTTTATTTAATCGTTGTCTTTGATATGTTGTCTTTAAGTGTACTTGAATAAACAACACTACAAAGACAACGGTTTTTTAAAACCGTTGTCTTTGCGCATTATTATTTTTTAAACGACAACGGTTTTATTTAACCGTTGTCTTTGATATGTTGTCTTTTAAGTGTACTTGAATAAACAACACTACAAAGACAACGGTTTTTTAAAATCGTTGTCTTTGCGCATTATTATTTTTTAAACGACAACGGCTTTATTTAACCGTTGTCTTTGATATGTTGTCTTTAAGTGTACTTGAATAAACAACACTACAAAGACAACGATTTTTTAAAACCGTTGTCTTTGCGCATTATTATTTTTTAAACGACAACGGTTTTATTTAACCGTTGTCTTTGATATGTTGTCTTTTAAGTGTACTTGAATAAACAACACTACAACGACAACAGTTTTTTAAAACCGTTGTCTTTGCGCATTTTTATTTTTTTAAAAGACAACGGTTTGATTTATATATATATATATATATATATATATATATATATATATATATATATATATATATATATATATATATATATAGTTTTTAATATGAAGTTATTTGTTGTTCAGTATAAATAGTTTCTACTGATCTTGATTTTTTGACTTAACAATTTTTTTAAAACCAAGTAATTTTATGCATGGCTATTGAAAATTTTCTTCTAAATAATACTCCAATTTGTATTAATTACTACATATTCACATTTGTTTGTTCTCTATTTTATCCCAATGCAACTGTATTTTGTTTCCTAATTCTCAAGCTTTAAAAGTTCTACATACACATCATGATTTATAGGAAATGCTATCTAGATACTGGATAATTATCTAAATATGGCAGATGTGTTGACCACAAGTATGTTGGTCTGAAATTTCGTATCTCACCATTTTACTTTTTACTTCATGTTGAAGTAAGGAGGTAAGTCATAGGTAAAGTCCATTGCATAATTATGGTCAGTGCTGTAAGCACCAGCTTATTGTGTTTATCAAAAATAAATTAAAAATGAGAATTAGTTTTAATGTTTCATAGACCATTTATGTCAACAATATCGAGAAGGTTGTCATTGAAATGTTCATTATTCTTGTTGTTGTTAAATAGGGAAAAAATTAACTTTCACTATGAATGTGTATTTTGTGAAATGGGCAATAGGAAATGGAAACAAGGATGGTATTTATTTTGTGTTGCTAAGGGACTATAACACACATGGTGCTGCAATTTGTATGAATCGGCTTGCAAAGTTGAGGTATGTTTATGGCATTTCTAACAGCTTCTCAGTGTTTTCCTTGCATATTTGCACATCCACCTATGCACTTCACATCTTTTTTTTTTTTTTTCTCATTGCAAGTTTTGTCACACATTTTTCATTCTAAATTTGTATCGTTTCATTCTTTTGTAGTCCACCAAACTTGCTTCGACACATAGTGTTTGATTCTTATGCTCATCTGTATTTATTTGGCTTCCTGCAAATTAATCCTAACTTATTTCGTATTTCATTGCAAATTTATTATATCTATACTAATTTATTTACTCACTTTTTACCTGTAGTTCCAACAAGTTGATTATGACAAAGCGGTTATTGATCTGGTGCGTTCAGAATGGGCCGATATTCTATCAAGTTATATAGAGTAGATATGATTTGACGTTGTAATCATTTAGACTTGGTTCTTAGAATTGTTTTTTGTAGTATTATGACTTGGATACTGATTTGATTAGAATTGGTAATGAAAGTATCTTGACTTGTAATTTGAACCTTGCTTAGCTTCTTCAAAATTATGTAACTACACTTGGCCATGGTGAATGAATAAATTGATTTTTTTTATATGATTAAAATTTAAGCAGGTTAAAAATGGGTTGAGACAACGGTTAAAAACTATTGTCTATTTTACAATAGACAACAGTTTGAAACGGTTGTCTTTTCTACAAAAGACAACAGTTTATGGGTGTGACTTTTAACAAAAGCGATTTCAACAACACACAATAGACAACAGTTTATAACTGTTGTCTTTTAAAGAAAAGACAACAGTTAAAAACCGTTGTCTATGTGCATCACTTTTAACAACACCGGTTTCAACAACATTAAATAGACAACGGGTCAAAAATCGTTGTCTTTTCTAGAAAAGACAACGTAACGGTTAAAAACCGTTGTCTATGTTCGTGACTTTTAACAACAACGGTTTCAACAACACTTAATAGACAACGGTTAAAACACCGTTGTCGTTTATAGAAAAGACAACGGTAAAAAACCATTGTCTATGTGCATGACTTTTAACAACACCGGTTTCAACAACACTTAATAGACAACGGTTAAAAAACCGTTGTCGTTTCTAGAAAAGACAACAGTTATTAACCATTGTCTATGTGTGTGACTTTTAACAACAGCGGTTTCGACAACACTTAATAGACAACAGTTAAAAAACCGTTGTCGTTTCTAGAAAAGACAACGGTTATTAACCGTTGTCTATGTGCGTGACTTACAACAACACTGGCTTCAACAACACTTAATAGACAACAGTTAAAAAACCGTTGTTGTTTCTAGAAAAGACAACGGTTAAAAAATCGTTGTCTATGAACGGGACTTACAACAACACCGGCTTCAACAACAGAAATTATACCCCTACGACAAAGGTTATTAACCGTTGTCTATGTGCATTTTTCTTGTAGTGACAACAATAATAATATATAAAAATTGTAAAAGTAATTTAAGATTTAATAAATTAGCAAAATATGTTTATGCCATTATATGTCATTTTACATCCAATAAGCTAAAAGTAAACATCTAATTTACAACCAGTTAATACAATCAGCTAACCCAATAAGCTATCAGCTATCAGCCCTTTACCAAACACCCTATATCTATATCACTAAATATTTGTGTGTTTGTATGATATACGTGTTTGGTTTAAGATATACTCCGTATAAGATAATTGAGATAATATGAGCATAATTTTGTAAACAGAGTCAATAATACTCAATAAAAAATTAATTATGTATTTGATAATCCTCAATAATAATATAACAATATTGTCATAGCAATTTTGAGAGTAAGTACAAGGTAATCTAATTAACTTTTTCTACCTTAGCTATTGTAAGATGACTTTATAGTAATGTTACATGGTTACACACATATATAATATACATATAATTATATATATGTATTACAAAAACATAGCCCATAATTATACATGTTAATATTATATTCTTAGAATTTTAACCAATGAATGTGTATGAGAATGTTTCAAAGAGTACCAATAATTAGAAGTAATTTGATGTTCAATGAACCAAACGCTCCTAAGTATGAAATTTTAAATTGATTGATTGATTGATTCTCCCATACTCTCTTCATATGAAACCAAAATCTACCTAATTTATTTATATACACAATTTAACAAGTTGTTACTTGTTAGCTTCTTCAATCATATAGTCAACTTAGCGGCTATTCGACATCAACTGAAAGCGCTTTTCTATTTGCGTTCACACTTGTCTGTTCTGAACAGGAATCCATATATAACACTTTCTTTAGTTTAGAAAATATTCTCTCTTTCTTATTTTATGTGTCCGGTTCAGTATTTTGAATTTAATTTTTCATAATATTAAGTTTAATATTAGATTATTAGTATATAAATTTATATATATAGAAACTATATTAAAAGTACTATAAAATATTTAAAAATTTAAATTTAAAAATAATTAAAAAATATTAAAGAAAATAAATAATGAAGATATAGTTGATTTGACTAATAAATAGTATATATAACAGGTAAAATTGAATAGAAGGAGTATCTAATTGAAAGAAGGCACGATAATGGTTCAAATCTCATTAAAAGTAAATTTAAATACATGACTTATTTGAAAGTCTCAAGATATTAATTAACATCGAGCATATTTGTACCGCTACCATCATTTAAGTTGTATCAAGTAGTATAGAGATAGAGATCAGAAGACAAGTTTTTCCATAAGTGGTTGTATGCAATACAAATGGGCATAATACCAATTAAAATCTTAAATTTTTTTCTCAAATTATTATATAATTGGATTTAGCTCGATAACATTATAATTATATAAGTATAATTAGTTTTCCCAATATAAAAAGCAGGTATGAAATAATTGAGTTACAACCTGCAAACCTATTATCTAGAAGGTAGGTCAGGACTTAATTAACTGGTTTAGTAGACAGTATTTAAAAGAAGAAACTAAGGTTTGAATCTCGGTAGCAATAGTGCGGGGATTATGTCTAAAGTGGACAGATCATTTGTCCCATTTGTGCGTACCGACATTTGATTCTGTCTGATGAGTCATTGAGTAAGGTAAAGCACATTGATTTAGCAAAAAATGTGCAACAACAATGCTCTTATTTATATACTCCCTTTCAAGGATTTTGAAGGTTATATATAGAGAGAGCTATGAAGTATTATAAGCTTAAAAGAATCGTAACTCAAGGAGGAAACAAAAAAAAAAAAGAGTAAAATGAACCCATCATATACTATACATTTCATGACAGGAAAGAAGTGCCAGCATGGTTATGGTGCAGAAGATTATGAGCAATGTTATCTCTGGAGATTCTTGCGGTGGTTGATCTTAGCAGAACCTCTGGAACTGTGACGTCGTCAATGAGCTCGATGGCGAGCTCGGGATCCATCTCCTCGTTCCTGATCTCGCAAATGTTGTGCAGCACGCAGCACGCCCCGAGCACGACAGGCAAGTCTTGGAGCTTAACTTCTGTTCTCTTCTGCAGGCAGCACCACCTGCCTTTCAGCCTCGCGAAAGCGTCTTTGGCTGCCTTCTGGATCTCCGCGACCTTCTCATTGAAAGCGTGTTGTGTCCAGGTCAAATGCTGCTGAGAGTATGGCACCAGAACCCAATCCATCAAAGGGAAACCCGAGCTCCCAACTATCCAAACGCCATTCAATAGCCCCCCGTTCGCCCTCTGGGACAGGGCGGATTTCTCAAGCACTTCATCGTCAGGCATTGAGCCAGGCCAGCCTATGCACACATCATTAAACACACCCTTTGGATCCACCACGCCTTGGACTGTGATCGAGTACGATGTCCTCTGGTTCCTCTCGGTGTGCCTCTTGTTGAAATACGAGGCTACGCTGATCTTGGGAGCAATGATGGGTATGTGAGTGGTGTACATTGATCCTACTACATCCGGGATCCCTGATATCATCTCGAATTCGTGTTTATTACTTGTGATTTTGGTTTCGTCGGGCCATTGTAAGTATTTGGGCATTAATACAGTCTTGATTGCTGTGCAGACCTCAAGAACAAGCTTATGGCAGGTTGAAATCCCCAATCCGAACTTCTTGGAAACTAGCCTGAGGGGCTCCCCTGTTGCCAATCTCCATATACAAACTGCGACCCTTTGCTTCACAGGCACAGCGTCTCTCAGCATGGTGTTCTCCCGGGCAACTGCGGAGCTCAGTTCACTGCATATCATCTCGAATGTATCTTTTCCCATTCGGAACGCTTTCTTGAATTCTTCATCTGGGAAATCTGCACTGTTGCATTCATCCCACCAGGCCGTGGATCGGTTCTTCACCCACAGCCGCCGCTGTGCGGTTTTCTCGGTTCTACTGCTGCCGGAATCCACCTCCTGCTCCGCCGCCGCCGCCGCGGCTGCGATTGCAGCCGCGGCGGTCCTGGTGTTAGCCCGCCCTTTCTGCTTCCGCGCCCCGTCGATCTGCTCCGCCGCGCTCTGGTGGTGCTGCGCGGTGGAGAAGAACTCCCACATCACGCGGGTCCTCTTCTTGTGATTCGCCTCCAGGTGGGATTTGCTCTCTTCTTCCTCTCTCTCGTACTCCTCTCGCTCCTGCTTTTCTTGCTCCTCAAGCAACAACAACGAGGTTATGATCTCTTTCAACCCGCGGGTCTTAGCCACCATCGGTTTCTCGTCCCGTTCATCACCTCCATCGCCGCCGCCGCCTCCATCTCCGGCGGGAACTTGCGGAAGGCAGTCAGACCTTTTCCGCCTCCGCTTACTCTGCAGATTACTACTACTCATCTGGTTGAGTGTTGTCTCGAGAACTTCACAAGCATAAACAGAGGACAAATCAGAATTTTCCGAAAAAGAAATCAGCTTCACTTAAGCGAAATGGGATGCAATGAAAGTATTCGATGAAATGCGTGAATGTAAATGTGAACGCATATAGAGGCATGGAAACAATAAAATAGAGGTTGTCAACAACTCAGACACGTATATGGCATTTATATATGTGTTTGTGAATGTTAGACAATTTGGGTTGAAAGCTACGGGGGTTTCGAAGAGGTGTGAATAGGTGTGAACACGTATTTGGATTTATCAGCTTGTCTTGTCCGGGGCGGGGGAGTGGGGACAGCTCTTTGAGTGTAAATTTTAGAGCTTGTTTTGTTCGCGGAGGAGTGGAATTAAAATTTCTTGTAAAAATAATTATTAGAAAGATTAGTTTCATTCTTTGGTTGATGAAAAAAATTAATGAGAATATTAATTTTATCGTTTGGTTAGATTTAGAATTGTAAGAAATAACAAGTATAAAAATTTACATGTTCTTATAAATTCATAAGAGTAATATAATTAAGAATGAAAACAAGGGTATTCAAAAAAAAAAAACTAATAATAATGGCAAAATAGTCAAATCAAATCACTTTTTCTTCTCATCTTCCATGAAAAACAAAACCTTTGACGGAACCAAGAATTTTGTTTTCCTCAAATTTGAAGAATTCATTTTCCATTAGAAAATGAATTCAATGAACCAAACACTAAAAAACAACATTTTTGTCCACTTTAAGGAAAAAATTTTCCATACCAAACATCACCTTAGTAAAAGTATGGTTAACTGATGGAATCGAAAAATTTTGATTAACCGTTTTATAACCGAAATATTTTGGTTCGGTTAATGGTTAAAGATAATTAATCTAACTCTTTTTTGTTTTGTTTTGTTTATTTTCTTTAATATTTTTTAATTATTTTAAAATTTGTTTTTTTTTTTTTTGTGTTTAATATTACTTTTAATGTAAATTTTTTAAATATATGAATTTTATATATTAATATTAAACTTAATATTATAAAAAATTGAATTAAAAATAACTTTAGTCAAATCTTATTTACTGAATCGGACACATAAAATGGGATGTAGGGAGTATGTTTCTATAGGGGGGAGGAGGATTATTATGGCATGGTTGGTTTTAAAATGTTTTATCCTATGGTTATCATCTTAAAGAAATAAAATATATATTTCAATTGGTATCTTGTGCCATAAATGTCATTTATTTCAAATGGCATCAATTGTATATATCTTTTCATTTGGTATCATGCCCATTGCCCAGTCACTTTCTTGTCTATTTAAATCATTTATGGTTTTTATTTGAAACTCTTTTTGATTATGTCAAAGCGGAGAGGCCGGGTGCGATAGGCAATATTCAAAGGGGAGAAAAATGAGATTATATATGCTAAGGGAAATGTTTATATATGTGGAAGAATTAAATGATTATATATGATTGACCAAGTGCTTGATTGATGAGGAACAAGGCTCTATATATGATTATGTCAATCATGCATTTGAATTATTGCAATTACAATATGAGTTATTGTCTATCTAATTCTTCATCATAAAAAAAAGGGAGATTGTTATCCTTGCACAGTTACACTGGATTTTGATGAAAATATATTAGTTAATTTAATTAGTTGTCAAGTGTTTTTGTAGTTGTAGATATTAAATTGAAGAAACTTTACTCTCCAAAGCTAATCAATTATGAGTACCAAGCTTGAAGAAAAGAAGAATACAAGGATTCCAAAATTGGAGGATGAATAGGTCAAGAAATAGAAATTTATTGTAAAAGGTTTTAAATTTGATTGTGAGTTCAAGTATTTCTAATCTTCTTCGTATCTTTTGTTAAGCCTATTCTTTATCATCCTCCACACAAATAGTTTTTTTAAAAAAGAGCCAAATGTTTTTTAGTCAAAACTTTCAAAATAAAATTTCAAATCATTATTTTAAAATGGTTTCCTTTATTGAACTTAAAAAAGGTTTTCAAAATGATATCATTTAGCCAAAAATGATCAAGGTTGAGAGCTTAAAAGTGTTAGTATTTAATGTTTAAAATTTTCAATACAAATGTACAATAGGAGTCAATGACTAGGTATTGTGGGTACCCCAACCGTGACCTAAATCATGGAAGGTTAAGGTAAAATCTTTTAGTAGATAGTGGTTGGGTCTTAGCAGGGTCACCTACCGTGATCCATTCGTAGCAACTTGACAATTAAAAAAACTAGTCATTTTTTTTAACCATTTGATTCCGTGTGTGTGTATCACTACTATAATAGCTAGATGAGTGGAGATATGATCCTCCACCATTCTCAAACCTTCCAAACTTCATTTTAGCACATTTCCATGAAAGATTTGAGTTAAGTAAATCCATTCTTCATTATTACCTATCTATTAAAGGTTTTTTTCTTTTATAGTTGAATCTATGTTCTTTTAACCTTTTCTATCTCATTAAAAACTACTAGTATTCATACTTAGAAAGATGTTTTTACTCTTTGTAAATCCTAAAACCTTGCTAAGTTTAAGATTGAATCTTGAATTGGTTGAATTCCAAATTTTCATATACATACATATTCTCAATCTTAGCTTCTAGTGCATAATTTGTATACACAACTTTTCTTTTTAATGACATTGAAATAGTATATATAATTATTTTATTTTTTCAAATGGTGTTTCACATTTGGGTGTGTAAGAAGTGGGTTGTCCCAACACCAAGTGTGGCTATAGTAATATAGTGGCAACCTTACCAATAAAATGGTGAATTTTTTGTACCTTAGATACGAAGGGGTGAAGCTAAGGTCAAAGAAGTGTCATTGTAGTATATGATGCACAAGGAATCCAAGAGACAAGGAGTCACTATCTTGTCTCACCCAATGCTATGAATGGTTGATATTATATTCGCGGAAGTGATATCACTGTGGTGGGGGAGTGCAAGCCCATCGATGAGGGGTATTCATCGAGGATGCATGGTAATTGTGCCTACCAAAGAATAAGCGGCCCGAGGAGTGGAGCTGAAAATCCTAAGGAGGTGCCCTTCCATCGATGAGGGGTATTCATCGAGGATGGTAGTGGTACATACCAAAAAATAAGCGGCTTGAAGAGTGGAGTTGAAAATCTTAAAGGAGGTGTCCTTAGATAGTACGTGAAGTAGGCTTTGTGAAACCACATTGAATTTGGTGTTGTTATTTCACTTTCTCCTTTAAATTTATGCTTAGTTGTAATAATATTTTTCCTCACATAGAATTGCTTAAAGTATAATTAAATGATATTAATCACTTAGGATAAATTGAAACAAACTTTATAGCCTAGTCATGGGTGCAATAAGTGTTATATGCGCTAATCGAGCGGAAGAGTAGCACCTAGACACGGCCATTTATGTAAAGTGAGTAAATATCACAAATAAACACATTGTGGATGCCACGAGGGAGGTGATAAGATATTGATATGATGTATGACGTGAGACATTGGGATATCTAAAATCAAGGTTGGACAGTGGGGGATGATTTCGGCGATGATGGCGTGGTAGAACGGCGTGGGGGAGAGCATACATGCATGGACCTCTTGCTGTTTTTGGTTTGTTTGATTATTGCTTGTAATATATATATAGTTAGGTACGTCTTTCCTCTTTTCTTTGGATTATCATAACCAATCAATCATGCTTCTCTCCCTTTTTCTTTTTCTTTTTTGTTAAGATAAGTGTTAATTTTGTTTTTATTTATTAAGTAGCATTTTGTATGCGAAATGTACGAAAATAATGATTTATTAATATCCAATATACTCCTCGACTATAATGATTTTACACAATTTAATTTAAAGTAACTTTTTGTGCTTAATTTAGTCATCAATTTTGATAATTTTACGTAATTTAATCATTTGTTAAAAATTATGTTAATTGACTATTAAAAATAAGGTTATTAAGGTAATTTCTCACCCCTTATCCCATTTGGTCATATTACTTCTTCCTCTTCCCCTTATTTTCCCTAATTTTCTCTCCCACTCCTTCATCCCCTTATTTTCCCTAATTTTCTCTCCCACTCCTTCATCCACACTAATTTCCCCAAATCCCATCTCTTCCTTCCTTAAGCCCTAGAAATCCTAAAGTGTACACAACTCAACCATTGTTGACAAATTGGCAAAGATTATCAACGGGGGATGTAAGACAAAGAACTGAAAGCAAACACACACCAAAATACTGTACACACAAAGAAATCATACTTGAATTTGATTGTTTGCCGAATCTTCTATGGTTCATGTTCATCATCGTGCATTTCTTTTCATATATATATATATATATATATATATATATATATATATATATATATACACACACACACACACACACACACACACACACACACACACAACAACAACAACAACAACAACAACAACAATGAATTATGCGCACTTTTGTGCCTGAGGAGGTCAGAACTGCTCTGTTTTCTATGTACCCTGACAAAGCACCGGGGCCGGATGGAATGAATCCGGGCTTCTATCAGCACTTCTGGGATGTGGTTGGGAGTGATGTGTCTCATTTTGTGGTGAATTGCTTGAATAATGCCACTTTCCCGGATGGGTTAAATGATACAAATGTTGTTTTAATCCCGAAGAAAGCTGTGCCTGAAACGGTAGCTGACATGAGGCCAATAGCTCTGGGGAATGTGTTATACTGAATTATGGCTAAAATGATCACTAACAGGATGAAACCACTCATGGGGGACTTGATCTCAGAGTCTCAGAGTGCTTTTATTCCGGGTAGGCTGATCACGAATAATATCCTTGTTGCTGCAGAGGTTGGTCATTTCTTGAATAGGAAGCAATGTGGGGCCACAGGTTGGGGGGCTTTGAAATTGGATATGGCAAAGGCCTATGACAGAATGGAGTGGCAATGGGGTTTGATGAACGATGGATTAAATTGATTATGCTCTGTGTGACAACTGTTGAGTACAATATTCTTGTGAATGGGGCAATAGGAGGCCGAGTAGCACCCACTCGGGGTCTCAGACAAGGGATCCCCTCTCCCCTTATTTGTTTATTATTTGTGCAGAGGGTCTATCTTTATTGTTACAAAAGGCACAGATGGCGAGATCTATACACGAATGCAGGGTGGCTAGAGGAGCACCCCCAATCTCGCATATGTTTTTTGCGGATGACAGTCTACTGTTTTTCAGGGCAAATGTTCAGGATGCCACTGTGATAAAGCAATATCTGAAACGCTATGAGAACTTGTCTGGTCAAATGGTAAATTTTCATAAATCTAA